CAACTTCGTTGGCAGGAATTTCAGACAATTGACCATTTCTAACAACCAAAGCAGTGTTGGCCAAAGATTTCTTCAATTCTTCAACAATAGAACCAGCTTGGTACTCTTGGATGAAACCAACAAAAGCATTCAACAACAAAAGAGCACAGATAACACCGAAATCGACCCAATCTTCCAAACCAGCAGCCAAGACAGCAGCGGCTTCCATAACGAATTGAATTGGACCAACGAAAAACATGACGAATTTCAAAACCATATTTTCACTTTCGTCAGCCAATTGATTCAAACCATATCTCTTTCTTCTCTTGTGGACTTCGTCGTCAGTCAAACCAGTTCTAGGGTCGGTTTGCAACAATTCCTCAGGGACGGCCTTGAAGGAACCTTCATCTTCGTGTTCCTCGTCTTCGTCGTCGTCACCACCTAAGCCATGGTGAGATTGCAATTCATCAACCAATTGGTCAATATCGGCGTCATCATCGTCGGATGCTTCAGCCTTGTCGATTTTTTCATTAGTTGGTTCAGTAGCACTCATTTTTGAAGGTAGAATTCAATTCTGAATGTGATGCAGAGTACTTTCAAAAGGTGAAAACAAAAAAAAAAAATGAGTGAAATTGAGTTACTGGAGAAAAGGAAAGAAAGAAAGAAAGAAGAAAGAAGAAGGGAAAAGGGAAAAGGGAAAACAGAATAGAGGGAAAACAGGAAAGGTTTTATAAAAACAAAAAAATTTTCTGAGAGAATTGTAATCTACTCTGGATGGGAAATGGAAATGGAACTGGAAAACTCAAAACCAGAATAAGAAAATTAATAATATGAGAGAGGGAAAAGAAAAAGAACAACAATCGGACTAATCTGGCGCTAAAAAGTGTTGAGAGATTTTGAATTTGTGTTACAAAGAGACAACAGAAAAAGAAACGAGTTTGGTATTACAAAAGTGTATATGTAGGAACTACTTTTTCAAGTAAACAATAGGAAAGATAGTCGGGTATTAGGTGAAGTTTATTGTAGATTGGGGTGTGTATGTGTGTGTGTGTGTGTATGTGTGTGTGAAGTTTGCGTAAGTTTTAGCTGGGTATGCACAAGGGATTAAAATAGCTAGCTACATATCGGCTTGATGAAAAAAAAAAACAAAAAAATACCTTTACAGTTACTGGCTAATACTTACACAAACAGCTCTTTCTAGGAAACACACAATAACAATGGCATCATCGCACATGTGTGTGTATGGACAAAATGGGACGATTAGTAAACAAAAAGAGCCTATTTCATTGGACGGAAAAGACGACGAGCTGACAAAACATAACAAAACAGTACAATATAATACAATATAATACAATACAAAAGCTGAATGCCAGCAAAAACGCCAGAGACCGGAGCTACAAGTATACGCGAATAGTCTGTACTTGTCCCAGCGGGTAAGTGTTGTTGCTTTATCTAAATTTTTGGGTTGCTACTGCATGGTAGAACAGGGAGGGGGGGTGCGAGAATCGTTTTTGAATTGATAGCAGGTAAAGAAAGAAAGAAAGAAAAAAAAAAAAAAAGTAAAAAAAGAAACTGAGGAGGAAAGGGCAGCTAACTTTATCCAACGGTTACATAAGATATTTGAACTTACCTTTACCCATCCCCTCCACTCCTAGCTCTCAATCTCTCCCCAATTTCTTTTTGTTTTTCAGTTTCTTTTTCAGGAATATTATGTGGTGTTGGTGGTATGCTTGTTGGAAGGAAATTGTTGTTGTTATTGTTTATAGTTTCTCTTAGAAAAGATTTTCCTAATGTTTTGAAATTCTGCCAAATAAGTAATCTACTCTACTACTACTAACCACACAGTGTCTGGTTTGTTATATTTTGTTGTTTTTTGTTTTTTTTTTTTTTCAATTTGTATATAGGCTGCTTTGTGCAGCAACTATCAGAATAGCACATTAAGAAAATAATACAGCGCTCATAGTTTAGCCGCTGGTATGTACATAGTTATAACCACAAAAAAAGTAAGTAACATTAAATGTAACAATATGTAGCAGAAAGTAACAAAAGGCGATAAAAAAAGTAACAAAAATTATAGTTAAACCAGTGAATGTAAGGTTGAAAGATGCAGGAAGAAGGATGGAGGAGATGCGAGATTAAGAAGAAAGAAATAGCAAGGTAAGAAAGATATAACTTATGAGTTGATATTATTGAGTCTGTATGGGGACTTAAAATCCTAACTCTCTCTAGATCTTCATATGTTGCTATTTTTTTGAAGAAAAAAAGAAAAAAAATGTTGTAATGAAGACTTTGTTGTTGTGCTTAGTTAAGAATTTGTATTCATAGAGATATAGAGAGAGACAGAGAAAGTATATGTGTGTGTAGTGTGTGTAGTGTGTGTAGTGTGTGTACCTGTGCACAAAAAAAGAAAATAAATTCCCTCAAATATTTGTTACACAAACATCGACCAATTTGTGATCTAGGTACACGACTTATATGTTGCTCATCATCCCACTTATATAACCGACTACCGACAGTCAACGGATTTATTTTCTTATTACGAAATATCCATAGTGTGGCCACCAACACCCTGTATCGGATGCCACAATTTGCATCATTATATCCCTTTCCCTGTGTGTTTCTTAAATGTATTTCTCTTCACAGCTTTACTCCGTTGTAACTCCGATCGGCTAAGCTGTTCTCGGAATTGATACAGATACATGTGGTTAATGAGCATTACTACTATTGAGCTTGCACATATCTTCTTAGCTCCCAGATAACCGGGAGTCACAAAGCATTTTCCGAGATTTTGCTTCGGTCTTCGGGTGGTCTTTAACTTTCCACCTAGTCTATAGTACCTACAGTTTGGTTGATACGAGATTTAGCTTGTAACCAGCACTAAACACACAAGAATCCAGAGTTTGGAACCAAATTTAATAATTCTCTTCTACCTTTGTTTGCGGCTGGATAGTTGGCAACTGATTCCTTTCTTTTCTGTTTACCTGTAAGGAGAAGCAGCTCTGCACTTGTCACACGAGTCCTACCCGTGTCGTCATTGCAATCAACCCCCAAGAAAACGTGGAAAAGAAAAGAAAAAGAAAAAAGGCAAACGGCAAAAGGCAAAAGGCAAAAGGCAAAAATCAAAAATCAAAAATCAAATGCTTGTGTACAACGATGTACATAATTTAATCAAATATAAACATTGTTGTATATACCTCAGTCCCCCTCTTTTGCCTTTACATCTTTGTTGTGTGGCTAATATCACTTTAGGATAGATTTTAAAGGATTGAAGTTATGAAGACAACGTCGTACGACTATCTTTACTCAAGAATTCTTCCCAAAACTTTCACAAACTCTGCTGATTAAAGCTGTAACATGCTTCTATTATATCTCTGTGACTACGCAGATGTAGCAGGGTGGGGAAATGTGGAAGGTTAGTCATTATCAAATAGGAGACATGGCTGGTGCTTGAAGGTACTGACTAATAAAGTTGTATAATGATTGGAGTTAGGGTTTCAAGTGAGCCAGCCCTATCTCAACTCAATTTTTGCGTGAGTGCTACCAATTCGTTTCTCTTTGTCTATTTTTCTCTGTATGTCTCTGTGTCTTTCTCTTTCTCAATCTCTCCGTCTCTGTGTTCCTACGTCTTTGTCGATTTCTGGGCAGGGTTAATATTGTGTTTGGTGTATATATGTTTATGTATATGTACTCCTCATCTCTTCTTCTCCTCATTTTCGTAAATGGAAAAGACCAGAACGACAACTCCAAAAACCATTATAGATAGACTCTATGATTGTTACAGTGAGAGCTCAAATGCACTGTAGTAATGTGTAAGTGTAGCTGTGCCTTAGTTTTGTTTTTTTTTTTTTTTTCTTCATACCGCACCAACTTCTCCCTCCATCTTTGTGGTGACTCTACTTACTGTACTTTGACCAAAACTAAATGCAAATGTTTATGGTGATAGAGACAAAAATCCCACATACTTCGGCTCTGTAACAACCGGTAAAAATAACCTACGCACGCAGAACTCCTAGTGTGTTTTGGAAACAAAAACCGTTTCAATCTGAATGATCTACTTGAACAGTTGACTATTTAATTTGGACTACAGCTGCTTTCTCTCTTATTTTTTATTGTATCTTACGCTATTAATAGACTATTATTACATCGTACCATGCCATGCCATACCAAACCATATACCAAACCATATACCAAACCATATACCAATATTATACGAACAAGTATCACACAACAATGTTCCATTTTTGTGTCTCCAACGGTTGAAGAAGAAGAAGAAAAAGAAGAAAAAAAGAAATTTTTTTTATTTTCCTTTTGTTTAGCTTTTGTTCACATATGCACGACCTAACTTTTATCTTGCTCGGCTGTAAAATATTACATTGAAACCGGAGTTAATGTCAAACTTGTTTCCGAACACAACCGGATATTAAATATTACACACACATACACATACACACACATACACATACACACACATACACACACATACACATACACACACATACACATACACACACATACACATACACACACATACACACACACAGACCAATACAAGTGGCAACGGTTTGTCAAAGCTATGCTAACTCCGTTCGTCAATACATACGATTAATCCGAGCTATTCTTAGTTGATCCATCAATCATATTGGTGGCCAATTTGTGTCACTCTATACATTCATCATCAATGTTTGATCTTCTTCACTGGACTATTCTTCAACTGCTGCAACTTATATGTACATTGCAAGTAAGAGACGACATGTAACCTTTAGTGAAATGAGCTTACATTTGCATCCGGAAGAGATAAGTCAACGTATATTTCTTATCACTTCGTAGTTTCAAATTCCTTGTATTTTTGCATTCACGTCTGTGTAGAATATTCCTCCAAAGTAGTTGTATATGTATATTGCATCGCTTTCTCTACTTCACTTACACATTGAGCCAAAGTTGAACACAACGCCAAACTAGTCTAAGTTATGACTGCGTTTCTATTAATACCTATAGTAGATATATACAGCACTGCCACCTCCCTACACCTGCTCATTCATCCGCTTCTTCTCCCTCATAGCTCTCCACTTCCATTTCAATGGTCTAAACTCCTTCAGAATCAAGTACATCACAGCACCACAAAACCTGAATGCCGCCATTCCAGCAACAATCCACAAAATAATCGTCAAAAACACCTCTGAGTTACCAGAAATCGATCCATCATCATTTGTTGAAGACTTGTTCGCAAGTAATCCAATACCTCCCGCGTCCAAAACAACCAAAATCAATATGGCATTAGTGAACATCCAGATCAACACGGTAATTGTCCGCACAAATGCATAATACGAATCATCTTTAATCAGCCTTGACTGCACAACAGCATCCACTTCTGGGGGTGGCAAACTTCGAAGAAGCTCTACTTTATCCATGTATGAATCATTGAGTCCTTCGCTTGTGTCAGGAGCAATCAACAAGATGCTTTCCTTGTCCTCTCCCATCGATTTAGCAGATCCCAAATCTTTGGCACGCTCAACCCCCTTTGTACCCCACGAAACATCATGAATATTGCAGAATGAGTAGATATTGAGTACGTTGACGTATGTGGGAGACAACAACACATACTGAGCAAATGAAGTAAACATAAAACTTGGCTCGCCATATATGAAAGCACCCACAAAATACAACGTATATGTTGACACTACCGACACCACCAAGTCTCTAAATTTGGAGTTGGTAAACACCATTGACGCAGTAAAGTCAGTCTTGTGGTCACTGATGATGGCTTGAGCAGTATGGACAGCAAGGAAAATTGCAGAAAAGATCAAGTACGCCATCATGATTGCAAATAGATAAGCAATCACTAAATAAAATTTCCTAGTTCCACGAGGCGTATTTCCAAAAGCCAAAACAAATGTGCATACAATTGATGCAACGTAAATCCAAAGGAAAATTATCGCCAAATATTTACCAGTCTCAAAATGCACATCTGAAGCACCCAAATTAGCAGTCAAGATTCTGAAAACAAGGAAAAATGAAGCTAATGAAAACCACGAAACCAAAAGGGTAAGCACTTGATAATAAAACTCAAGTTGGAGAAACAATTTCCGCAACAATGAATGCTGCGACCGCCAAAGTTTGGTCCAATGGAAAACTGCATACGCTGCGGCAAACAATGACCCATTCAACCATCTCCTTCTTTGTAATATAAACTCATCAATACTCTCAGGAACATCGGTTTCAGCTTTGGCTTCCTTGACATACCGCAACATATACTTGTGATTTCGCTTCGCAACTAGCTCAAAACATAATATTCTATCCTCGGCCAAATACATATTGGATGTGAAAATCCCCGCCTCTTGGAAATTCCGCTCCTTAATCTCTTTTTCATCATCGTCAGGATCATTCACTTGACTATTCAAGTTCAGGTACTCCCCCTTGAAATATTTCTCCAAGGGACCTTTCCCATTCACATTCAAAAGCGCCTCATATCGATACGCACTAAACGCTCCGGGCAACACCGAAATGAACCCAAACACACTCTCCATTGGCTTGTCCAAGATGTTTGAAATTTTGTATTCGAAATTCTGAGCCGCAACTAACGGATTCGCCAATAACCGCTTACCTGCACCCAACGAAGCTCTCATTTCACCACATGCACCAGCAACATTGGGGTCCTTGAATGCGCGCCAAAGGTAGTAAAATGCATTTTTCGATGGCTTTGTTCCACAATCCAACAACATCACCACTTTGGGGTTCAAGATTGGTGCAAATGCTTGGAAACACCAACGATGCGAATTAATCTTTCTGGCATTCTTCTCCTTGAGACAAAATAAGAACTGCACCGGCATGGAATTGGGAGTTAAATGAACGTGATCGTTGATGGTATCGATCCCCACCGTCGATGTGTACTCGTAAATGTGGGCCTTGACGGGTTTATCATTGATTTTCGATTTGGCATATCCATCTTGATACACTCCAAGTGCAGTTAAAAGAATCTGCGTCCTTTTGTTTAAATGAATACGCCCATCAGTAACAATACATACAACAACTTTTTTCCATGAATCATCTCCCCACACGGGATCTGATCTTTTCCTCAAATCTTCTATATTTTCAAAAATCCCCTTTAAAGTTTTCGCCAAGAGAATCTCATCTTCATTGTACATTGTGATACAGACCATAATCTCTGTTTCTCGACGTGGTTCGTAAAGTGCTTGACGTAAGTTGTATTTGAACTTGACATAGTTTGAAGGTCCACAAGTGGCAGCTGTGTATCTTAAAAACGACATCTCCCTTCCAGTATCATCGACTTTTTTGCAATATGTATCGAGCAAAGCTTTTGGGGCTGGTGCATCAATAACATAGTTACCATTGATGAGTCGAGCCTTCTTTATGGTTCTTGTGTACTTTAGATTGTTGCCCTTTTCATTAAAAACATCGTCATCGTCGTCATCATCATTATCGACATCGAATGTGATTGTAGATCCTCGACTTTTGGTCTTTCTGATGGAATTACCCAACCTTCCTCCTCTATTCAAAGTGGTGTTTCTTCTCAAAAGGTCGCCGGCAGAATCTCCAGAAAACAAACTGTCATCATCACCAACACCATACATGTCAAAATCCTCGTCATCTTCGTATTCTGCATCAACTAGTGGATTTATAAGGTAATCTTCACCCGTTGAAAATGGTGCTGGGTAGTTCATATTGTAAACCAAGTGATCGTGGTCGGTGGTCCCAAAATCTGTGTAATTTTCGTAAAATTGGTTATCTAAACCAGGGTTATATGCAAGTGGCGGATACTTCAAGTCGTTATTAAACGATACAGTTTTACCTCTCCTGGGAGGATTATATTCATACTCTTCATTGTTAACCGGTGAAACAAACTTCTCATTGTAGCTGTAGTCATTGGCAACGGTACCAAGTGAGGAGGTGGTTGGATATCTGTATCCGTGAGCAGAATTCGTGGCCAGAGCCAGACTTCCTTCACTCAATGAAGGTTTTCTTGCTGTATGTGAGAACACATCACCAGCTTGATTCTGCTCGGTAACTGGGTGTGAAGGATGAACCGTATCCACATCATCAAATAGGTCGTCATCGGACGGATAATCGAATGGGTTATGTGACATTGATCTTCTCCAGTGTGGCTTTATCTAATTATACGAAGTGGAAGGGGGCTTGTTCAAGAAAGAGGTGTTGTGGGTGGGTATGGAAAAGTGACAATCTTGCGGGTGACGTATATGATAGTGGCTCAATAAAAGCAGCTACTTTGCAATGATGAGACCAGTAACTAAAGCACCCCCTTGGCTATATTCAACGGGAGAGGTATCTCTTGATAAATGAAAAGAGAAAGTTTAGTATAATTAGCAACTTTTATTCAGTCATTTCTTCCAACCATTTTCTGTCACACAACCTTGTGTAGCCCCCCCTTCTGGTTCTGTGCTATAAATCCTGAGAAGATCACACTGTCTATGGTCCAATTGGGTTACATAATTGTCTTGGTCTAGTTTGTTTTGTTTTGTTTTTAAAGCGTACTTCTATTTCTGTTGTGTGTTTTGTTTATCAAATGTCCCGATTGGGCAACAGCAAAAAGGGGGTCAGCCGATTCACTAAACATCCACAAACACAACTCACAACTACAACTCACAACTACAACTACAACTGCTTATGCATGTCTAGATTCAACTTACATGCATACAGAGGCTACAGATCCATGGCACGTGTAATCATTAAACTGTGTATAGTATGAGCAAAGAACATCCTATACATTGTCTACTTTATCCAAAAAATTTTGCATACTTTGACTTTTCCTTTTGTTTCTTTGCTTCCAATGCTGTTTCCACACCTTGCATCTTCTTCAGTATAAGCTCATCATGGGGTAGAATATTATGAGCCGATTTCAAGTCAGCAAGTGATGATTCCAACTTGTTCATCTCAAAGTAAGCCAGACCTCTTCTAAAACACGCTTTCGCCCTTTCTTGTTCCAGAACTTCCTCATCCATGTCTAAAAGAAAAGTGCAATACTTGATAGTATCCGCAAATTGCCTCAACTGCAAAGTAACCAAACTCAAGTTTAAGTAAATCTTCTTCTTTGCATCTTTGAACTTTGTGAAGTATTCAGGATTCTGGTCCTGGTCTGGATCAAATTCAACAATATAACGCAAACACTTCCGCCACTTCAAATAAGCTTGGTTCTTATCTCCCCCTTTGAACAATATTGTCCCACTTTCCTTGATCCGTTCTACTGCGATATAGGCGGATTCCGTAGAGTCTTCTTCAATTGTCTGGTCATCATCTGGATACTCCTCATAAACGTCTCCACCCGCTTGGTCATAGCTGGCATTAAAGATGGGGACATCCATGGAATCGTCCCATCCACCACATGCATCAATAACAACTGCAATTGTCGGTTCATATACTGAGTTCGTGTTTACTCTCTCAATCTCTCTAACCACTGATTTCCCATGTATTACATGACCGAACACAGTGTGTTTCTTTGCCAAATGTGGTTGAGGAAATGTAGTAATGAAAAATTGATTGCTCAAGTGGTTCAGCTCACTATTGACCCAGCAGAGACTAAATGTAGGACAGCTTTCACACAAATTCTCCTCTTGAAGGGCCTTTGCATCTCCGTTCTGGTCACACAGTGTCTTCTCACTTGTCTCTTGTACTTGTATCATAAAGTTTTTGATCACCTTGTTGAAATGGGCTCCCTGGTACGAATGTGAAGCCACGTCGATTCCCTCACCACGACATAATGTTAGGAATTGGCTCGTTGAAAGCGGCGCCTGTTGGTCGTATAGCTCCAAAACAATACGCCCAATCGGTCTAGAATCAATACTTATATCTAGGTAAGCTTTGGGTTGAACCGACTCAATCTTCATTTGCTGATATAAACTAGGGGAATGTATCCAGTTGGATGGTGGTGGTGGTTGATACACCTGAGATGCAAAATTTGGAAAAAGAAAAATTATTTGTAAAAACTTACTACCCCCCGACTAACTATTACACATCACAATGATAGCCCATAGAGTAAAGACCCCCTTAAAAGTGGTCTCAGTTGGCATATCATATGCCAGGTACTCCACCACAAACTACAACGCAATTCTTCACAACTCCGTGGAAAGTATTAGTCAAATTTTGGAAAAAAGTGATCGCTCATCTTACATTCTTGCTCAATACATCCCTGAACCAGCTAGAAATACATTTTTAGCAATTAGAGCCTTCAACCTTGAAATCGGCAAGATCAATGAAGGTGGTAAGAACAGGCAGTCTCGGGCGTCGATGGCTTCAAGGCAAATGACACAAACATTGGGAGTATCGACGGCCGATTTAAAGTTTAAGTTTTGGAGTGATTTGTTACTTCGTGTGTTTACTAAGGATCCAAACAATCTGCAAGACTTGGGTGAACCAATCGCCATTCTACTAAGAGACGGATTGAGGAATGGTATGAATATAGACTTGTCATACTTGCAAAAATTCTTACAAACTAGACGTTCATTTATAAAGAGTGGAGCATCGTTTACCAACACCAATGAGATTTGCAGTTATGGTGAAGGCACCTACTCTCAACTCAACTACCTAACCCAACAGGTATTACTATCTCCATCTATATCCCCATCATCTATCCAGCTACTACAAGCTTCGTCTACTTTGCAATCACTCATTGCAGATATAGCAGCCCACATTGGTCAAGCAACAGGAGTAGCATCAATGATCACGGGCTTGAGATACTATGCATCAACAAGGAACCAAGTGCCACTTCCAATTGATATTATGAACAACCACGATTTATCACAGGAAGATGTATTGAGATTATTTCAGGGTCACATAACCGATTCCACGGAGGAACAAAACCTAAAGAGCAAGTTAAATCTGGTTGTCTACGACACTGCAATTGTTGCAAATGACCATATATTGACAGCAAATAAGAAGCTAAACGATTTCAAAACCGAAGTCAAACAAGTGATTAGCACACGTTCAAACGACCAGAAATTTCAAAATTTTGCCAAAAAGTGGAAAGGCAACGTTCCCGATGCCTTGTTCACTCCTTTGATGGTTGGTATACCCACGAGCTTGTATTTGAAAAAGTTGGAGAAACACGACTTTGATGTTCTCAATACCAGCGTGCAACAGCCGGAGTGGAGACTTGCTTGGACTTCATTCAAGGACTACTACTTTAGGAAAATCTAGCATCGCTTTACATGTAACATTTAAATAATGTACACCTGTTACGTTTTAGTATTTGCATCATTTGAATCTATATTGGGCTTCTTGCTCAATATCTTGACAGGTTTGAACTCTTTGGGTGTAGCTGCTGGCTTATCTTCATTGCTAGCTGTGTCATTCTCTTTCTTGTCACCGCCTTTCTTTCGATTACGTTGTCTCGAGCGAGATTTGGAGCCACCTGACGGAGCATCTTTCTTTGTTTCGGTATTTTTGGTTGTGGAAAAGGGTTGATCTCTCTTGTTGGCGTCTTTGTCTGTGGATTTATTTCCCGATTCTTGAGTACGGGGCTTCTTCTTTTTTTTTTTGTTTTTGCTTTCCTTCTCTTTCCCTTTGTCTGAACCTTTATCTGTTTCCTTTCCTAACTCCTTCTCCTTGTCAGTTGTACTTTGCTTTTTCTTTGCTTTCACTTTCTTTTGCTTCTCTTTGTCCTTATCATTAGCACTATCCTTATCCTTTTCCTTACCTTTACCCTTTGCCAGCTCCTTCTCCTTCTTGCTTTTCTTATTCAGTTTTCCTTTAGCTACTGCTGCTGGTTGATCTTTCTCGGGCTTTTCTTTACCCTTTTTACTCAACCCTTTGTGGATCTTTTTCAAATCGAAATTCTCCAACCCGTTCTCCAAATACAAAAGGAATTTTTTATAAATTTCATCCTCCTCCAAACTATTAGAGCTTTTGTCAGTCTGCGAAGCCCTCCGTGAATCTCCCTTTCCCTCTGGTGATATCATTTTTTGGAAAATTGACTTTTCCACAATTGGAATAATAGAATCCTTCCCGTCTTGAAATGGCTTGTTCTTCACAAACGAACAGAATTCCAATGAATCATTAACATTTCGGAAGCTGACGTATGCTCTACTATACACCGGTAGTTCGAATGGCGTCAGTGGATAAGATCCTTGAACAAAGTAATGCAGGTGAATCTTTGTTGCATGGTGTGGGTAAATATTTGCCAATTGATTCAAAAATTCAACTTCTTTTAAACCAGGAGGTAGTAACCTTATTGTATATTTGAGTGGCTGTTGTTGCTGTTGCTGCTGTTGCTGCTGTTGCTGCTGTGCACCTTTTGGAACTCTCTTTCCAGTAGCGGAGTTGGCACTGGCCGAAGTAGATTTGGATGGATGTCGCTTTATCGTAGGTACAGGTTGACCACCATTTTCTGAATTTCTAGTCGGTGCTATCGATGCCATTGATGTAGCCTGATCTCAAAGTCGGTAGTGGTGCTTGTTCGGTATCGATACGACTTTATATTAGATCCTTCACGAAAACAACGATTTAAATGCAACAACTATATTGTCATCAAGCAGGGAGCACCAAAAGTTGAATTTTTTTTTTTTCACCTATTTGATAGAGAACACCCCCCAGCACCCCCACCACACAGAATCTACAGTCACAGTTCTTCAATGTCATAGTTGCGACCACCTACCTAGCTATGACAGCTCCAATTGTTGCTTAATTGGACAAAGCTCCGGATCTATTGCAAAAGCACAATCAAGCTATTAAATTTAGATGCCGACGCAAAAAGTTCCATGAAATGTATTACCAAATTTAATCTGAGCTTGGTGGCCAATTGTGTCTGGATTGGATGGTTGGGCTACAGAGGTTTGTGGAATGTGTACTAAAGAGGAAACTTGAAGAGCTCTGTGATTATTCATGATCAGGTCAATGGTGTGTGCCTGATGCTCCTGCTTCTGAGGGTGGTAACGATATGATAGACGTGAGCCATAGCAAATTCATCTACGTTCTGTTCCCAGTTATTTACATACCCTTCTTGATAATTCAAGGTTAAATATGGAGCAGAGGGGATGTTTGCTGATTCCAATGAGTTGGCATTGAGAGAGACTCATCAAATTCAATATTCAGTAGTCCTTCACGTGGACGCAACTACGATCTCATACNGTTAAGGCGTGGTGCTAATAACGCCAAGATCAGCAGTTCGATCCTGCTAGGGACCATTTGAATTTTTTTCTTCTTTTAGTTTATACAGTGTTTTTTTTTACTTTGTACGGAAAATGGAACGAGAGCAGCCCCAGAGGCCAGCTTTTGCAGCCTTATAGTCATTGAGGGACTAGTTTTTGATCAATGACTTTCCCTTGCTTACTGTTTTCAGAAATAAGGGAACTTTTTGGCCATAATATAGTACGATTGGTTGAAGTATCAGTGTATGGCGTCATAATGACAAGAGATACTGTGTTTAGTGATTCTTTTGTTTTGACTCCAAATAGAAATTGTAAAGCAGAATGATTAGTGTGTAGTATTTCATTTATTTAGTTGGTTGTATATTGTCATGGAGAGAGATTTGATGAAATTTTGTAAAAGTTCTGTGTGAATTTTTGGCAACCANTGTATTTCATTTATTTAGTTGGTTGTATATTGTCATGGAGAGAGATTTGATGAAATTTTGTAAAAGTTCTGTGTAAATTTTTTGGCAACCAAAATATATTCTTCACCAGCATTACACATTCAACAAGAAAGACGATTCTAACGGTATTCACAACCAGCATCCAACTCAACCAGACTTCTAGTACCACCCACTAGTATCCCACAAAATCATCTACTAGAGGTTCATTGCAATTCCTCTTGTTTTTACATCCTTTTGCGTGATCTTCAGCTGGTGGAA